GACCTGACCCTACCTTCTCTTTGCTGTCATCTTTATACAGCCTCTAGCCTCCTTGCAAATACTTCAGATCTTTGTACTTGCTCATTGGTCTGCCTGGAAGACTTTTACATCCAGATATTCTCCTGGCTTGTGCTCTTAATACCTTCAAATCTTTGTTCAAATGTCCTCTTGTAAATGCTAGGATTTCCCAACAGCCCAGCCTTCCATGTCCTCCTCTCTGGTTATCTTTCTTCATAGTATGCATCCCCTCTGATACACTATCCACTGTCCTATTTAGTTCACTTACTCATTTTGCTTATTGTCTCCTTTTCCCCAATAGGAAGTAGGCTCCATAAAGACTTCAAGACAGGAATCTTCATCTGCTTTGTTCCTTAGAGCCTAGACCCAATCATTGAACATAAAAGGTTCTTCATAAAAGTATTGATTAAATTTGATGAATACATGTTGACCCTAATCATTATTTTAACATTTTGGAAGCAGTAAGAAGCAGAAAAAGAACAATGTCAAGCACTGGCAGTTCATGGTGGAAACCTCCAATGTTTATAAGAGCATGCTAAATGAAAAAGCATGCTACAAAATTACAAGTATGCTATGATTACAAATTTGCAAGATGTGCATATAAGAAAAAAGAGGGTGCACAATTTGTATTAGCTCTCATCATAACATCATGACTGATCTTTGCTGCTATTTTCCAATTATATGGAATGTGATCTGAAATAATAAAATGAAATTACTGAAATATAAATGACATGATATCCTTTACATAAAAATGAAGCAAAAGTGTAACTTTTCTGTGATGTAGAGAACAGGTACACTAACCTAGTTTGTGGATCCTTCTGGGAAGAATGGGGAACAGGATTGTGGATACTGATCAAAGAGCTTTTGCTGTAATGTTTAAATCATTTACAAAAATAATGTGTTACTACATTGTGTAGGGTTTTTTTTTAAATAATAAGGCTAGACAAAACCATTTGAAAATCCTGAGACAAAACAAAGTGCAGTTTACAACTAAATGTTCCTAAAGCAATAAAATTATTTTTATTCCTCCTCTGGCTCAATTGGTTTTCACTTAAACACAAACGTGGGAGTTGGAGAGAGACCCGGAACATTCCCCCTGCCCATTGAGAATATGATCTAAATGACACACCCCAAGGTCCTTGGCCTATTTTGGGTATGGATGGGGTGAAGAGGACACGCCTTCCCTTCTCTCATCCTGCCAGGCTGTAACCAACTCCCCATCAGAGATGCCATTGAAGGGAGATAAGAGCTGATCAGCCCTCTGGAAGCAAGTTATTTACAGGTTTAGTTTGCCTGGAGTAAAAAAGACTGGAGAGAAACTAGAAACGCAAGGTCATCTGACTGCATACTCCTCCAGCTCAGTCGCTGGCTGTTGGGAAGCAAAAAAAAAAAGTTTCCTTTCAAGGGCTCACTCACACCACGTCCCTGTGCAGCAGCCTCAGACTGCAGAGCAGCCCTTCATTAGCCTTTTGTGAACTATGTGTTGCTGAGCTCCTCTCCATGACGCCTTCCAAACTCTGCCCACCTCAGAGGACAAACTAGGTGCACAGAAGCTGGTGAGACGAGTGTAGGGCCCCTTCTTCCCTATCCGAGTCCCCCAGCCACTCCCCCAACTCCACCCAGCCCAAGGAGTCTTCTCCACAGCCCCTCAAAACCTGTCTCCACAGGGTGGGGGATTTAGCTCAGTGGTTCCACCGCCCGCCTTGCAAGGGCAAGGACCCGAGTTCGATCCCCAGTACAAAACAACAACAACAAAAAACCTGTCTCCAGGACAGTGAGTTCTATGGCTGTGAGGCTTGGCTCATGTCTCTCTCCAGGCGCTGGGCTGCTTCCTGCTGTTCAGTCTGTTATTTCCTTCTCCTCCGCTCCCCGTGCCTGGGAGGGGCAAGAAAGCTCTGGGTGGTTTTGGAGTCAGCCAGCAAGCCCTGACCTCATCCTTACAGGCAAGCTGAACATCTTCTGAGCTGCTGTCTTGGCCACCATTTAAGGTCCCTGGATCAGGGGTCTTGGGACTGGATCACCACCTGAAGGACAAGAATTCTTCTTGTCCTGGGGCACACAACAGGGGCAGCTCATGTTCACTTCAGGAGCACCTCAGTTAACTGGGAGAGGGGTTTTATGCAGTGCTATCTATCTATCTATCTATCTAAGGATCAGGGGATCAAACTGAGGGCCTCAAGCATGCTAGGCTACAGCTCTACCTCTGAGTTATAGCCCCAGCCTCAGGAGGTAGGATTTTAAACTCCAGAGCTGCTGATTCAGTTCATGTGCACATCATCCATCCACCAAACGTGGCTGACTTCTGACTGCCCTATGTATCTGGCACTGTACAGGAGGAAAACATCAACAAGTACACAGATGCCTAGAGGATAAAGGAGGGCAAAGTCAGTATCCCCACCACTGCATTTAAAACAAGAGACTTGGGCCTGGGATTTAGCTCAGTGGTTTCACCACTTGCTGCGCAAGTGCAAGGACCGGAGTTCAATCCCCAGTACCAAAAAAAATAATAACCCCCCCAAAAAATAAAACAAGAGACTTATGGGGCCGGGGATGTAGCTCAGTGGTGCCACGCCTGCCTGGCAAGTACAAGGTCCTGAGTTTGATTCCTGGTACTGAAAAAACAAACAAACAAACAAACAAAAACCCAAGAGACTTAGAAGCCAGGCATGGTGGCACACGCCTGTAATAGCAGTAGTTAGAGAGGTTGAAGCAGGAGGTTTAGAAGGTCAAGCCCATCCTGGACAACTTAGCAAGATCCTATCTCAAGGTAAAAAATACAAAAAGAGCCAGGTGTGGTGGCACACCCCTGTTATCCCAGTACTCAAGAGGCTGAGGCAGGAGGATTGCCATGAGTTTGAGGCCAGCCTTAGCTACAGGTTGAGTTCAAGACCAGCCTGAACTACATAGTGAGACCCTGGCTCAAAAAATAAAAACAAAACAAAAATACAAAAGGACTGGGGCTATAGGTCTCTATGAAGGCCCTGGGTTTGGGCCCCAGTGCTGAAAGGGAGAAGAGGGAGAGGAAGCTTGGTTAAAATGACAAAATGACTCTCCAGTGGGTAAGTCAGCAGCACAACTTATTGAACATCTGCTATGTGCTGGGTGTTTTCATGCATTGATGTCGGGGCGATCCTCACAGCGGCCTTTCTGGGCAGGCTTACACCATGCACACATGAGGAAGAACACAGAGACTTGCCAAATGTCAGTCTCCAAGCTACTTATTACCAAAGCTGAGATCCAAAGCTCGTGCCCTTTCTCTTGACTTTGCAGCAGCCCCAGCATGAGCGCTGCAGGCCCAGGCCACAAAAAATTGCAAGGAGTCCCCATCATGGGTCCTTCCCCTGACCTCCCACCTCTCCTCTGTTGGCCCCACTCTTGTGGCCTCCTCACCCGTTCATTTGTTCATTCATCCAGTCAGTCAAATACAGTTATTGAGCACCTGCAAAGTACAACACTTTGGAGAAAAGAAAGAAAAGATAAATCCTGAAGGGCTTCGCCACCAAAGGCTCTCATAGTCTAGTAAAAGTGTATAGTCCATAAGCAACTAAAATGCAGGGCTAAAAAGTAAGAAATAGGTAAAGTGCCCCGTCAAGTCAAGGCAGGTGAGACTGGAGGAAGGGGCATTGAGATGTGGCTTGAGATGTTCAAGTTTGGGTCACACAGAGATGCGGGGGCAGAAGCTGCCCAGATTCCAGCCACAGACTTCAGCAAAGGTACGGAGGCCAAGAGAGGGAAGATGATCACAGTCTATGTCAGTGGAGGGGACTGGAAGGACCTGAGTTTGGAAAAATGTAGTAGACAATCTATAAATCTACATTTACAGGAATGGTAAATTTGGGCCAGATTACACAGGACCTAAAGCACCAAGCTGCAGAGCCGGGCACTTATTCTGTTGCTGACGAGAATCATCGATGAGATTTCCCATTGTCAGCCTTCAGTGAGGAAGGCCAGGTAGCCACTCTGTCTCTGCTCTCTCCAGAGCCGGTCCCACAGTGTCAGCAGCCCTGTCCCCCACTGCTGTGTCATCACTTACCCACTTTCAAGTGCCTGGCCCACACCCAGTGGCCCCCACTTGCAGCCCAGAATGCTTCCTTCCTGGGGCAGCAGGGCCGAGTCATTTGGAAACCTCTCTCTGATGAGCTCTGTGATCAAGGTGCTGATACTGGCAGGTGGGCCGCCTCAATGTGTCCCCAATCTCAGAAGTGAATGCAGTAAGGAGTTTCGCTGGCCTATCACCTCCACCTTGGGCCGGGCTCACTTTCACTGCCAGGACAGCACGGCTGCCTTTGATGAGGCCACATCACAGTCTTGCTTCAGCCTTTGCGTGCCTTTGCCTCCCAGGCCACTCTGCCCTGCTCGCCCTACTCTGGGCCACCCAAGGCCAAGCCTCTAACCGCCATGTCACCAACCACAGTTCCTCACGCTAGCCTTGCCTGGAGGCTCTGAGAGCTGAAAATGGGGAAGATGATCTTCGTGCCATTTGACTTCTTGAGTTTCTCCTCAGGAAGCAGCAGTCTGGCTGCCTCTCCCTGGGGAGCCGTTCATCTCTGAATGCTTGGTGCCAAACACTAGGTCCCGAGGTGGAATGAACCAGGATTCTCTTCTACCTGGATAGACGTAGAGCTTATTTATTTACTTTTCTCATAAATAAAATAGACTTAGATCCCCTCGCTGACTTTCTCCATAGGCTGAGGCCCTCATGAGACAGAATGTGAGAGGCTTTGTAAACTGTAAATTAATCTGGGAACGTTATGGATGTGGTTATTAGTTTATGAAGGTTGAGTTCACGTTTCTATTTGCTCTCTTAGCTCTCTGTTCTTTTTCTTCGTAGCACTTATAGATTTTTTTATAACTGTATTGTAAGTTACTGTTATCACTAAGCACACTGTTTATGTGTTAATGCCCACCGCCTCGGTGGTGTCAGCTACAGTGCAGCAGCTGCCACATTTCATTTCGTTTCTTGTTACTTTCCCAATATCTAGGTTGAGGGCCTGGAATGTCATGGAAGCTCAAGGAACCACATGAACTGCTGAGGTACCGGAGGACGCACCATCCATCCTCACTAGAGACTGCTACTAGGCTGGTCTGTCTTGGTCACTGCAGAAGCCTGGGACACACTAGGCTGTTAATAAATGTTTCTTGGAAGCAAGAAATGAGTAAAGCTGCCCAAATGCCAGTGTCACTGTGAAGCACTGTTGCTGGAGGCTGTTCTGTGTCTCCCCATTGCCCCTTTTGTGATCCCAACACCTAGACAGCTCTTGGGCCTCAGACTTGCCCAGCTCACCTCCTGTCTTCCTCCCACACCTTCCTCTGTGCAGCCAGACCAGCCGCTCACCGTCCCCTCTCCGAGGTGCACAGGTCCACTGCAGACCACTGCAGGGCTGAAGCATTCCCTCCACGGCCTGCCTAGAGTTCTTTCCTCTCCCACCTCCCTTGTAAAATCCTGAAACTAGGTGTGGTGGCACACATCTGTGATCCCAGCAGTTGGGAGGCTGAGGCAGAAGGATTACCACTAGTTCCAGGCCATCCTGGGCTACATAATGAATTCAAGGTCACCTTGAACTACATAGCAAGACCCTGTCTCAAAAATAAATAAGTTCTCTGTAAAGTGATCCCTCCAAAATATGAATAAATAAATAAATAAGTTATGGGCCTGGGATTTAGCTCAGTGGTGCCGCTGCCTGCCTCTAAAGCACAAGGTCCTGAGTTCAATCCCCGGTACAAAAAATAAATAAATAAGTTAATTAATTTAATTTAATTATGAGTATGAGTGCACGTGTGTGTGTATGTGTGTGTGTGTGTGTGCGTGTAGTTTTGCTTTGTACCTATGGTGGGTTTTATTTAGAAAAAAAGAGACTTTAGCTTGCACTACAAATAATAACCAAGACTGGCCACCCAGGCATTTTACAAGCAGATAGACAAGGAAACTAAGGCTTGGAGAGGTTATATTCATAATCTTCAACCCAAGGATTGTGCTTTATATGTAGATCTATGAAAGCAATTTGGTTGAATGACCTCTTTTTTTTTTTTTTAAAAGCAAACAATGATAAAAGGAAGGGAGGGAGGAAGGACAGAAAAATGTGAGTGTAATATACATACTAAGTATTATTTACTATGCTTGTTATGTATGTGCTTGTTTGTGTGCAGACATGCCGACCAGATTGTGATATAAAATATATTTCTTGGCATGGGTCATGGTCAGAGTGACAGGATTACATGACATGCAGAAGATTAACTAGCAGATCTTAAGTTCCACCAATAAGAGTGGAGGCTGAGATGGACCCAAGAGGTACCAGGGACAGAAACCTGCCAGTCTGGGAGGCATGATACAAATTTCAGCTCTGCCAGAGTGGGGCCCTGGGAAGCCAGGTGTGCTGGAAAAACACCAACAGGGGTTGTGCTGGTTGTGGGGTGCTGTCCATGGCTCTACAGAGGTCTCAGCACGGCACTCCGTGTGGAGGGCCGAGAGGCTGCTGGGTGGGTTGGGAACTCCAGGCTGGCTGACCAGCTGTGTCAGGGCAAGGGTGCAAATGACACATCCACTCATGTGGGTCCTGCGTGTGCTAGGCAGTGTCTCAAAGGGCAGTTCTCAGGCCACAAATCAGTCTTTCTTGAATACTTGTTAGAAAAGCAAACTCTCTCAGGGCATGGTGGTACATGCCTTTCATCCCAGGACTCCAGGAGGCCAAGGCAGGAAGATCACAGTTTCAACCCAAGCCTGGGAAACTTAGTTACTTAATGAAATCCTGTCTCAAAATTAAAAAAAAAAGTTTTAAGGGCCAGGATGTCACTTAGTGTGAAGATCCTTGTTTCAATCCTCAGTAGAAGAAGGAGGAGAAGAAAGAGAAGGAGAAGGAAGAGAGGGGGGAGGAGTATAAGAAGAGAAAGATGAAGAGGAGAAAGGGAAAAGAAAGAAAGAAAGAAGAGTGGAAAGAAGGAAGGAGCCAGGGATTTAGCTCAGTGTTTTTGCTGCCTGCTGCGAAAGCACGAGGAACCGAGTTTGATCCCTGGTACCAAAATAAAGAAAAAAGATAAAAAGAAAGAAGGAAGGAAAGAAAAAGAAGAAAGAAAGAAAGAAGGAAAGAAAGAGAAGAACAAGAAAAGGAAAGAAAGAAAGAAGAAAAAGAAAAAGAAAGAAAAAAGAAAGAAAGAAAGAAAGAAAGAAAGAAAGAAAGAAAGAAGAAAAAGAAAAAGAAAGAAAGAGAAAGAGGAAGGAAGAAAGAACCCTAAGGGGCATCTAGAGCTCCTGAGTCAAATTGTGGGGTGCCCAGGTGATTTGGCATGAAGGATGAGACACACTCTCTTAGGGATGCTTTGTTTGGCATCCTGGGCTTGTCTTAGAATATTAGGCAGGGGCTGGACTAAAAGCAGCTTTGCTGGAAAGTAAAAACGTGGGGCCTCCAAGCTGGGCTTTTTTTTTGGTACGGGGGATTGAACTCGGGACCTTGCACTTGTGAGGCAGACAGCGGAACCACTGAGCTAAATCCCTGGCTAAGCTGGCCTTTTTGATTTCAAATTCACACTTTTTCTGTCACTCACTCAGCCTCACAGTTTACACAGCGCATCACACATAGCTCTCTGGTAAAAGAATGCTGTATGTATCCTTACTCCATGTGCCTTCCACACTGCTGGACTCGGCCCACACTGTTTTCATTGACATGGTACAGTTTTACAGTGTTTTGGAAATGTTCTCAAGTTGTTTGCATATATGAGCACACAAGCCTGCATCCATGCGTCTGTTCTGCTTCTCAGTTAGACGAAGCACTCCCTGGCTAGTCTTCCCTCTAGCTGGTGCTCTGCACAGTACTCAGTAGAAAGACACCTGATCCTAGCACCTGACTCACTCTTTAACCCTGTCCAGACAGCCAGCCCCAGACAGAAGTGCCCAACACTCAGATGGCCCCTGTAACCTCGTGGTAACCACAATGCGCCTGCTCAGCACCTGTAGCTGTTTCCTCCCTGCAGGATGCCTACCTGTTACCTAATGGCAGAAGGGCCGTGTGTGGGTGCGGGCTCCCAGCAATGACAACCTTTACCACCCACTTCCTGTGTTGACTCTAATATGCTGGTGCTTGAGTGTTAACATTCATACTACTTCCCACTGTTGTCTGAAGCTCAGTTTCCATAGCTGTAATGTGGTAATAAAAATATCCAACACTTAAGGACTGTTCAGATGATGAGAGGAAATGAGGGTGTGAAGAATTTAGCTCAGCTGGCAGCTCATAGTGAGTACCTGATAAACAGCCCGTCCTGGGTTCTTTCCCCTGAGGTGGCCAGGTAAGAGCTTATCTTGTATGCAGTGGAATATCTGAGAAAAGGTGTGTGATCTTTGTTGTCTTGGATTTGGTGTCTACAGAGCTGACTTCAGGACCTGACTCTGCAAACCACTCTCTCTGTAATCAGAAGCAAGAAGGGCCCAGGATTTAGCTCAGTGGCTCCAAGCCTACCATGCAACCACAAGGTCCTGAGTTCGATCCCCAGTACCAAATAAAGAAGCAAGAAAATGAGACTGTTTCTCCCTCCCCCTTGCCCCCCACCAAATGTGACCATAGATGATGCCAATGCCTCCTACATAGGTGTTCTGAGGATTACATGTAATTAAATGTGAGAATTAAGTGAAATAAGACAATGAGGTGAGGCTAAATGTAATATTGCAGGGCTGTGTAGATTGCTTAAATGCTGTACCAATGTTACTGTGATTCTCACTGAGGGCCTTTAGGGACACTTGACTCTCCCTGGGGCTGATAAGGTGGGGCCTGTAGAGCTCTGTTCTATTGAAAGAGACCCAAAGAAAGAAGAGAACAAGGGCTCTGGCCAGGTCAGAGTGAAAGCATCCCATGTTAAGAAAAGAAGTGGAGAAGCTGGATGTGGTGACACATGCTTGTAATCCCAGCACTTGGGAGGCTGAGGCAGGGGGATCACTGTGCGTTCCAGACCAGCCTGGGCTATGTAGTAAGTTCAAGCCAAATCTGAACTACATAGCAAGACCCTGTCTCAAAAACAAAAACAAAAACAAAAATTTGAGGAAGGAACCCAATTCCATCCACTCTAACAGTATCCCAAGCCTCTGGGAAACAATCTAATTTTTTTGGTGTACATAGTGATTATATCTAATATCTGTAACAAATAGAATTTTTTTTTTTGTACCGGGGATCAAACTCAGGACCTCATGCTTGCTAGGCAGGCGCTGTGCCACTGAGCTACATCCCCGGCCTTAGAAATTTATTTTATTTCTTTTAAATTTTTTCTTTTCTTTCTTTTAACAAATAGAAATTTGACATAATCCATGAACAACAAGGTACACTGTCAGAAAAATAAACCTGAGATAAAGCTAAGCAACCACTCACTCCTAAACCAGGAATAAACCCAGTCCTGGCCAGCCACCAGTGGTCATTTTGATGAGAAGCCTGGAGTCCAATCCAGCCTCAGTGATGTCCCAGGGTCAGGGCTTGGGTCCCACAAAAATTAAACATAAACAAGTTGCAGACAAATAGAATTTGGGCTACCTTCACCTGGAAGGCTTCCAACTCAGCTGATTGTTATGCACAGGGGGAACCCCTGCATCTTTACAGTCAAAGGATTGCAGCTTTGGCATTGCCCTATGTACCCTGCAGAAGCTAGTCCAGCTTTTATAGTTCTGAAGATCATAAGATCTTAGGTTAGTCAGCTTTCTGTTACTGTAACAAATGCCTGAGATCATCAGCTTATAAAGTGGGAAGGTTTATTTTGGCTCATAGTTTTGGAGGTTTTAGTTCATGACTTATTAACCTTGGAAGCACAGTTCATGATGGGTCTATGTGGCAAAGGAGGCCACTTTACTTCATGGGCTGGATATTACTCCACTAACCCCCTCAAGGACATACTCCCAGTGACCGCAAACCTTCCATGAGGCCCCACTTCTTAATAGAACTATGAGCTGGGGACTGAACCTTTAACATATGGATCTTTGGGGGACACTTAATGTTCAAACTATAGCAGATTACCTTTCCTGAAAGAAGTATCTACTTTCTGAGGTTTCTAAGACAACATTGGAACTCATGGTCAGGAGGTGTTTACCCATACTGAGTTGACTATCAAAGCTCAGTGGCTAGGACAAGTGGGTCCTGGAAACCTAAAGTATATTCTTGCACCTGAAGAGACAGGAAAGGAAATCAGAACAAGCCCAGAGTGCAAGAAGCCCCAGGAAGTAGAGGGACTAGATAAGAGTTCAGGTGACAGCCATAGCTACAACTGCTCCATCAAGCTCAGGTCAGCCATGGAAAAAGTAACAGACTACCTGGCTGTCACCCATAGTTGAAACTGCTGGTCAGGGGCTCTCGTTCCAGCTAAGAAATAGTCCTGAGCCCCCATGATGTCATGGGAAATGGACAGTGGGAATATGGGAGAGGAGAAGGCTCCAAGACCAATTCCTACCGTGTCCAGTGTACACTCCAATCTTTTCTTGCCTCATCTTCCTGACCCCTATCATTGTCATCATCATCATCATCGTCACAATAGCCATGCTTACCATACACGGAGTCCCACAGTGTGCC